AATTTGTGTGCGCGTGCACGTGGATTGAATTCGTCTGCCAACATTCTACTCCTGGCATGAACAACAAGGGGATGCATATGTTGGACACGAATGTTGCTTGGTAAACTCGTGAAGAGAAACTGAAACACACAAAAAGCTTCATTAGCTGCATGGAAATATTTTTCACCGTCCTTTAGGAACCGATGCCATTAGCTTTCTCATTAATGCCGATGCAGGTATCCCTCGATTTTACGGACGTTCGATTTAAGTAAGGGGCCGTCCATAAATGACGTCACGCACCTGGGGAGGGGGGGGGTGTCAGACATTTGTGACGATGTGTGACGAGGGGGGTGGGGGTTGAGAAATGTGACGTCACATAAAAATGCGCAACTTTAAATAAACATAGACAACACGTTCTACTTAATTAAATAGACTATTTAATAAATGTTTTCTCCTACAACGTTCAGAGTGCAGCGCCACAGTAAATACGCATTACAATGACAATAGTTTAAAACGATTTGAAGCATGTTTTATTTTCAAAATGGAAATATGGTTTGGGGGGGGGCAGAGCTTTGTAACGTCATATTTGAGGGGGGGTCTGACTTTTTGTGACGCCGTGTGACGAGGTGTGGGGGGGGGGGTCAAAAATCGTCCGAAATCGCGTGACGTCATTTATGGACGGCCCCTAATGTTGCATGAACGCAATTGACAAATTATGGACACTTTTTGATTTCCGAAATCTAATTTCCGCATTCACGAAATCCCACACACGGCACGCGCCGTGAGATCAAACAAGGGGCACCCGGGAGGCTGCAGGGCAACCGTAGCGCCTCCACGTGACCTCTGCAGCTATTCCCACGTGCAGCAGATCTGTTTGGGGAGTTCATCGAAATGGTGAATTATTTTGTTTAAAAAATAATAATTATTCAATCGATGTATTGTTGATGTTCTTAATTATGATGTTTTGTGTTGTGAAAACCGACATAGGTTGATATTTTTCGGTTAGGAGCAGAGTTGGAATGACTGTTTTTGATATTGCGTCAATGTCGAAAGGTCGTTCCAAGTTACGAAATTTCGTTGTGTTGTTTGATGATCGCATCCCCTTCGTAAATTGAGGGATACCTGTATCTTGATGATATTCATGACCGTCATGTATAATTCACGGATATACTTCTTGTAAGAGCCATTAATAGTCACTTCTTTCAATGCTGTTACATAGCACAGACAATGCTGACACAGGGCCACACATATCATCAGCTACATCTCTAATATTGAAAAATACTTACCCAGTTTATGTTTATAAATGCAATGATAATTAGTAAGAATGTTAATACAAATACATATGAACAAATCAATGTTTTTTTGGCACAGAATAAAATATTGCGTAATATGTTAAACCTGTGCTTGTAATTGAACAGTCTCGCATAACCTAACCTCAAAAATATATTTGATAATGCTGGTCCAGACTAGTTTTTGATACAATTGGCCGTTATCCTAAAAGCTGTACATTCGCAAAAAATATCTCTATCCTGTTATGAATCAGTAGATCGCATTTTTTTACGTTAACAAACTCAATTTGCCTTTTGAGATTACCTCGCCATGACATCTGGGCAGGTGTGAAAGTTGAATCAGGAAGTGACTTTGAAGATGAGACGAAATTTTCAGCACACAGTGCTGCCTTCAGTTTAAAGGAATGACATCTCATAATTGCATCCTTTCAGAGATAACGATCAACGTACCCGATGTGTTTATTGGATATAATAATCAGATTAATAATAAAACGTTGAAGAATACACCTATTTTGTGAGCTTGCTATAAATACATATGTAGTTTAAGATATTGCAACGCAAAAAAACACACACACACATAATCCTACATCACGGTGGCGATGATTGAAAATATGTTCTCTCTCCAGCTGCTCTTGGTTCACTCTTCCTTCAAGAGTCGTCTGATTAATTGTAGTAACTGACGTAAAGGTCCAGTGACCCTGATGCACACAGTGAAGATTGCTTGCAGCTTGTGTGATATATTGCTTGTGTGCCTGTCACATTAGATAACAGAGGTTAAGAGTGAAATTGCAACATTTATACCTCCTGCGATTGCATTTTTTTAAACAGTGAACGTCGATTACATATATATAAATATGATGCGATTGTTCTGTTCAGGTGAACTTGATTGCTTACGCAATGTATATCTGGGGTCGTGTATACTCTACTTTCTTCCCAATGTGAGTATAGTACTGTACGCGTTATTATATCTTTAAAAAAAAGTTGCCAATAAATGATCTAATGTGATGTATTGTGCTCCCTGAAAGGGCAGCAGTGCTGTGTATGATAATCTTGATGTGGACTTCCATCCATCAGGAGGTGGTCGAAACGAAGTTGTCTATCCTGAACATGACAGATACTTTCTGACAGTGTTGAAATGTTTTTAATCGGCAGAGCAGTGACATGCGGCCCAATCGGGAGAGAGGTGTGAGCCTCATCTGGTTAGTCCTTGAGAATCGGGTCAGACATGTTTACACCCACAACATTCCTGCTGTTGCTGTATTGCACAAGATGTATTTACGCTTTGGTATATATATATATTTTTTGTCAACAACGTCGTAGCTTAGTCGAATTGGGAACTGATAGCAAACAACATCAACAACTAATCTTCTTGGTTCTTTCGGTAAAGTCACGTAGAAGGGAAGTAATAAAATAATAAAAATAAAACATGTTTTATTATGTTTTATTTTTATTATTTTATTACTTCCCTTCCACGTGACTTTACCGAAAGAACCAAGAAGATGAATCCCTGCAGTCACGAAAGCTTTAAATCGAAAAATCAACAACAAAATTTTGATTTCAAGCTTTCGTGACTGCAGGGATTCATATCCTTGGTTCTTTCGGTAAAGTCACGTAGAAGGGAAACAATTCAATAATAAAAATATATAAATATTATTTTATTGTTTCCCTTCTACTTGACTTTACCGAAAGAACATCAACAACCTAAAGCATAGCATCTCTGCTATCGGTTCAACGTGCTCAAATTCGAACTTCTTTGCACTTGTATGTTAATTGCATAAAAAAAATGAAGGAAAGGATTCACAGTTGCAACGGGGGGGCTCTTCTTGCTGCGTGTGCAGCCTTTGCAGCAAATTCTAAGTCGATTTCTGTTGACGAGCTGCTGATTGAAATGTTCTGCACACGCGGGAGTTGGGTGCGGGTAATTACGGCGTCAGTCCTGCCACTCGGTGCCAGGTCTGGATCAGTAGAACCGTCTCTCGTGGGAGCGCCCCAGCAAGTTCTATCGTTAACCAAACGTTGTAACCTGTCAGACTCGAGATACCCAAATTCGAATGCTATGTATACAAACGATTCGTTGAACATATTCGTTTGCATTGTTAACATATTTTCAGTTGTTCCAAATGTGTGGTCTCGTGAGAATAAGTGTGGAATTTTGCTTGTCAACAAATTGGTCATCATCATCATCAGCCATGGTCAATCCATTGTTAGATGAAGGCCTCCTCATGCCACCACCATCTTCCGTGATCCGTTGATCGAACAATCCACCCAGCAGCACCTGCACACCAGCTGATTTAATCGCTCCACCTCCTCAGTGGATGTCCTCGCGAATTATTTAAACGGACTACTTTTGAGGAATGTTACAGTCAAAGCTCCGAAACCTTTCGATTCAGTTTTCTAAATCTTTAAACGTTCGGTGTGTATACTGTAGCCTAAGGATATTCTGGGAGCATGGAACTAGCTTAGATACATTTATGAATGAACCTTAGACTTCCCATTCAAAAATATTCCCTGAAAGTTCATACACTCTGTCGACGACGCCTATTGACAATGCTGACAGCTCACGGCACCCTTTATACACGTGTAGACAAGCGTCGCTAAGCGCGTGATTAATTCCGTGTAGATCTCCACAGCCAGGTGCTAATGCAAAGCTTAACCAAATTGCTTCGGGCAAGGTGGCAGTAAAAGCAGATCAGTGATTTGGCTTGTTGCACACGACCAAACATCGGGGCGGCGCAGTGAGGCTCTTGCCCTTGCGTGGGAAATAAAGATACGCTTATACCTTTTGACAGGCACAGTCCGCCAGGTGCATTCATGTGTGAGTTGAACGTGTCCGCCCCGAGTTGTGAATTATGCACCACGAAGGCTGTTGCTCCTCAGCGGCCTCGTGCCAGGGAAGGTCCAAACGGAATCAGCGTGTGCATCGCTCGCCCAGAGCGCGCAACTCATTCTAATCCCGCCTTGATTGATTGAACGGCACTAATGGCCCAATTAATGCACAGGCTGTTTTCCCTGCTTAAGAGATAAAAAAAAAATCTAAATCACAATGAGTTGCTCTGCATTTGAATCATCGCCGGCAAATGCATTAGCATTGCCCCGCGGCCGCTGCAGCAGACACACAGTTGCGCATCAAAGCACTGCACTGAATCAGAGACCGTTTAGCACAGGGTCAATGTTACACTTCTTTCCACCCCCACCCTCCCCCCCCGCCACTGCATAAATAAGGGTGAATTATGATCTAAAATGACTCTTGTGGTGGCATTAGTCAAGCCTGGCGTTTTAGATGGGTCGATATGTAGCCTCGCACTATTTACGCAACAGTGACATGCTCGCTGACCCGGATAATTCATCATACGTTCCCAACAGCCAGAGACATCCACACAGGCGCCACCTGCATGGCGAGAGGGCTCCCACAAGGGGCACGGACTTTGCAAGGATGCGATTTCAGATTGGCGCACACCAGGCCAAAAACGCTCTGGCAGCGCCTATTATTTTACTGCAGAGGGCATTTTTACCGCAGAATTCGGGGAGATGGAAGGATAAGGCGATAGTGCAAATGATAGGGGAGGGGAACTTTCTCTACCATTTGAAGCGGTTGGCTGGGATTGGTGGTGTGCCGACGACTGTGAAACTCATCGGCGTTTTTTTTGCTCTGCATGATGTGTAATGCAGGGTAAAGCACGGGGCAGTAAGAAGCATTTCTAATGGAAGCGTCTGCTCTTTATTAGACCTTTACAAGTGATTGACATGATAATTGTTTTTTTACCCTTCTATCTGGCAACAAAACTGACACCTTTTTTTTTACAAGGAGTCATGTTTACATAGACTACAATACCTGCAGTCATAATGCAAACAAAAAACATAACTCTGATAATGTGCACTGTCCTTGAAGTTGATTGGTCCACACCCGAGACAGCTTTCCTTAGAGCCTAGTCTCACATGGATTGGACCAGATGACGCCAAAAGGCGCACAACTCAAAGACAATGCACCATCAGAGTATGAGAGCTAGGGGTAAGCATTTAAAGTGATTGACATGTGCTTGTGTGTAAGAGTGCGCGTGTGTGTACGTGCTGAATAAAATTATATGCACAAGAAGGTGGTCAAAAGGTCTTGATAATTGAATTGTAAACGTACACAAACTCGCATGTATCACTTTATTTTCCATTCATAATGTGATGTGTTGCCTTACTGCCCCCACCCTACCATCATTACACAAATTCTGCGGTATGGCTTGTTTAAATGTCGCGTGAACATTCATGTTCTCTCTTTAACAGTGGGTTGGTGTACTATACAATGTTTTATACCCTTTGACCACGACTCTTGTGATATTCAATGATATACATAGATGCATATGTACATAAACAAAATACAAATTGTGTTTGTTTCAACAACCATGTATACAATAGTTTACATAAATATCACAAATGCGTGGCTTTTTCAATTACCGAATCTGCTAGTTTGTATTTATATACACTTTAATTTATTGTTATATTTCGATGGTATTGAAAATACTTTCTGTATTGAAAACATTGCTCTCTTATTTTGAAATTTGTGTCAAACACACACGCACACACATTGACGTGTGTGTGTGCGGGCGCGCGTGCTTAACCCGTCAAAGCGAGGTGGTGTATTCAGAGAAGAGAACCCTAACTTTGTCCTGAATACTAACTTTATTCTTGCTTTAGTGTGAACACTTTTTTTTACATTTGTAACGTCATTAAGACTGTAAAAAATCACCTTGCAGTTGAATCGCAATAAGTGAACGAGCCATTATAGCATTCATTTGATTCTGGTACTTAAATGTACACGTATGGTAGTTCTAACCGGTCTGGTAAAAAAAAAAATACAATTTAAACCGGTAGAGAAGAACGTAGCACCTGACTGTGATGCCCTGCACAGATATTTGCTGTAATCAAGACACCATTAAGTCATGACTGTAATACGCATTTTTCTTAGATGCATTCCTCCTTGTAACTGATGTTGCAAAAGCTCACCGAATTACTGTGCATTGTAATGCGTGCACCAAACAGAGCATGCACAATTTGTATCCATTACAGTTGACTTAAAAATAAAATACATTGTCCCTCGTTAAGGCAAAAATGAAACCTGGTTTGGTGGTGAGAATAAACCTTTACGTGGGCATAACCATCACCTGCGTGGTGTCGCACACATTAATACACTACCCGAACTAATTGGACATGCTGCGAATGGAATTAATCAAACGTAATAGCACCATCTCATTAATGACATCGGCACACAACTCTATATGAATATTAAGCCCCTTTACAACCATCCATGCCTATGGTGATAATTAGACTAATTAACTAGTGCCTGTAACTTGGTGAATTGAGCAGATGTTTTGTTTTAACAAGAAATTAGTGTAAAACCACACGGACAGCATTGCTGCTGATGCTGCTGCACTGGTGCCTCCTCGCGCTGAAATGCGATGTTTGCTTCACGGCAGCTGTACAATGGAGCACCCATTGGCTCAAACAAAGGAGCATATCGAGACATGAACTGATTGTGACAAAGAAAAACTATTATGCAAATAGAGAAAAAAATTCAACTTTCCATGCAGAGAGAACAATTTCAAACGTTGTTTTCTGCTCTTTTACGACGGGGGATAAACGTCGCGTTGACGGAGAGACCTTCGTTTTTTAAACGGGAGCATTCTCTGTGCCGATGCTCGCACGCACCGTGTCAGATTATGGAACCACACACCTCCCTCAATCATCCCCCTGGCGTGCCCTTGTGCCACTGGCTTAGGACCAACTGAGGTCAGCAGAAGTCCACAAGCATCTCCACGACACTTTCCTTGGGTCAGGAAGGCTGCTATCGTATTAATCGGTTTAACTCCCGAGCAGTTCATGTTCCGTGGTGGCACTGAACGACGGACATAAATCTTCGAAGGTCACTTTGACCCCATAGATTTTCCTGCTGGATATTTCCAGTATATGCAAGGTTCAAGAAACCGTCTCACGGCCATAGCTCGTGGTTTTATATATATATATTTTTTTCTGCTCGATGTAAAATAGCACTACTGCTTTAAGCATGCTTTTAAAAACTGTTTTATTAAGTTATACAAATGGGGCATCACAAAGGAATTTTTGCATGTCTAGCTGTAAGTCAAGTAAAAAGAGAACGCAATTTGGAAATGCTCACATTGTACACACACACATCTTGCAAAAACGAAAGTAAACCATCGTTTACAGTGACGTAGCTGGTTTTGTTACGTCCTAAAATATGTATTGCATTAAATTTTATCTCCGATTTCTAGTGTGATGATACTTGCTTAAATGTGCTGCATTATACGTTACTTAAAGTATTGAGTTTGCTCTCCTTATATAATTATTGTGTTAGCAACATTTAACAAGCCGTACATTTTAAACAATGTGTGCTTCTGTGCTGAACACGCATATGGATTTGGCAGTTAGCGCTATAGACGGTGTCGGCTTTTCTTATACAACTCAGCCACGTCACTAAATGCACATATGGACACAAGCAATTAATCCATTTCCGAAACAAAAATATTCCATTCCTTACCAGCTTAACGATTCAATATGGTACACAGTTAATGCCATTCAGATGCATACACGATGTGGTCACTTTGTATCATAGTAAGCAACCAATTTTGAAGCTCAAGCTTTTAAAAGAAGCATGATAATCATCTAGCAAGAACAGAAAAAAATGCAATGCATGTAATTGTTCATAATTCAGTTAACAAAACATTTCAATTGTAATTGTTCGGTAACAAAACGTGATTCGATTTTTTTTGCAGAGTTTATATTTTTTCACACGTAGGCTGACTCGCTTGAGTGGGTACGACCAAAGTTTGGCACAGAACTTCCATGAGACCTGATCTCAATGATAGACTTCCGTCTTGCCTGAACGCCTCGGACTGCAAGCTTGATCTTTCTCCAGCCGAGGTGATTGAGTTCGGCCAGGTTCAGGGCAACGCATAGTCCACTGACGGCAAACATGAACACAAGGAAGACGGTCTTTTCCGTTGGCCTGGACACGTAGCACTCGACTTCTTTGACGCAGGGGTATCTGTCGCACTCGAACGTAGGCGTCACGGTGAACCCGTAGAGAAAGTATTGGCCCACGAGAAAGCCTATCTCCAAGGCGTTCCTGAACACGACCTGAATGATGTAAAATCGAGATATCCCTTCCTGGCGCTTGGCTTTGGACTTCCCAGTCCTGTACAGAGGTGGCTGAAGTTCTTTCAGCTCCATTCCGTCGGGCTCCTTTGACGAATTCTCGTTGTTTTGTAGCAAAATGCCGTTCACCATCGCGCTCTTCTTCTTCGAGGAGTCGTCCCTCGTGGGCGAATCCACGATTTCCTTGTCCAGGAGGAGCTGCAGAACGGAGCAGCGCCGTTCGCGTTGTTTCGCCGACTGGTGCACGGAGTACGTGATGAAGCAGAGGCTCGGCGTGCACACCATGATGATCTGGAACACCCAGTATCTGATGTGGGAGATGGGAAATGCCTTGTCGTAGCACGCCTGGACGCAGCCAGGCTGAAGGGTATTGCACACGAACATGCTCTGTTCGTCCTCGTACACGGTCTCCCCGACTATTGCAACGATCAGAATTCTGAAGATGACCACGACCGTGAGCAGAATCCTGTTGGAAACAACACGCAGTGTTGGGATTATACACTCTTGCTTGTTAACTGCACGGTATTCTGCAGGCCAAATACACACAACTTAGAAATGATACAACGCAGCGCATTAAGCCGGGATAAACCGTAGGATAATGAACTTTACTTTTTGTCTGCTGTATTCCATAATCAATACATGAGCAGTGCGTGTGCCCGTCGCTACAATGCGTAAGCAGACGCGTTACATGACATTAACTTACCTGCCGATCATGGTAGAATGCTGCTGGACAGCAGCCTCCAACAGCCTCTCCAGTATGGTCCATTCCCCCATGGTTAAAGGCGAACCGAGTCACTTCAACGTGATCTGACAATCAAAAATAAAACGCAACACTGCCACAAAAAAAAGGTGTTGCCCTTGATGAACACGCACCACCTCTTGTTAGCGAGCACCCCCCATTTTCCTCCCCCCCACCCCACCACCCCTCAACACGAGTCTAGGGGGACTCGTGGAGCCACACAACTTTAAAAAAAAAAAACGGGACACTTCGTTCGGCGCGATCTCCAATGGAGATTAAACCGGCGCAATCCTATTTGCCGCAAAGCCTGCTTGAGGGACAATCTCATCAGAATGAATGGATGGGACTGATGGGCAGGATATATATTGTCCAGAGGATTATTATTTTATTGATGTGTGTGTCGTCACAATATTGTGGACGGACGCCATCAACCTAAATTTAGAGCACCGACCACGCAGGCAAGTTTAATGTAGATTAAAATGGCAAAAAGGAGATGTAGACGCCGCCACGTTTGAGTGTATTAACCCTCGCCAGCTGCTGGCCAGACTGCTCCCACCGGCGCGGCTCCCCGTCCTTCAGAGGGGCTCCCCAGCAGCAAGCGCTCAAGTTATAATAGGTGCGGATGGGGCGGGAGCTTTGATTGCGTCGCATTGAGGAGGAGGAGGAGGTTGTAGTAGTAGTAGTAGGGTCGCAGCGACTCCACCACTGCAGACGAAAGGGGTGAAAAGTTGACAACTGCGCTATCTCGCGTTGTGGTGTCAGCGATGCGGTACGGCCGTGAGCGCTGTTCAAACACACACACGTGGCCGGTGCGCGTTTCGTTGCAATAAGCGGCGAGGAGGAGGGGGGATACAATGAGGCAGCGTTGCTTCTGTTAGATTACGCACAACTGAGCGAGTTTAAGTGGGGATTTGATTCGTGTCCGAATGATAAGAGTTGAAAATGAATGCTTCACGAATGCCTTCAGTTGCATCGCAGCGTGAGTGCAACGCGTTCGGCTGATCGCGACATCGTGAAACACGGATGCCGGCCCGCAGTGAATGCCGTGGACTGCATTTGTGTACTGTACTGTATACAATGAGCGCGCGGAGCTCCGCGTTGCTTATATCTCTCTGAGCCCGGTCGCTCTGCGCCGTGAGTGTTGTTCCGTGTGCCTCTCTTGTCGCTACCGCCATAAAGATGGAAACTTGTGTTTTACGAACGAAATAGAGCCATCTGCTAGTCGTGTTAGATCGAACTACCTGCCGCGTGACATTGCACACACCCATGCCGTGCGCTGTATGCGTGCATCTTACCCGCAACAACTTTTCTTGTGCTTCTTCAATGCATGTAGATGAAGAATAGCCCGGAGGGTAGCAGCGTCCTCCGCGTTACTCGCCGAAGCCGTGGGCTCTCCGCTCGCGGTGTTAATGAAAATGCGAAGCGTTCGAGCAAAAGAGCAACAGAAACACGCGCCTCGGGACCGCGTCTAATGGATCACGAACCTTTTGTATATTCGCTCTCAGGTTAGCGCTCCCGGAGGGCGCTAGACAAAGCAAGGCACTCGTACGGTTAGGCGATAATCTTTTGCACGCAACTGCATTCGCAACATCTCCGTTCACTGCGCTTGTCTATCGGCTCAGCCGTGGCTTGGTGGACGAGTCTGGAGCGCAGGGCTGCTGTCAACTGAGAGGAGTTTCCATTCGGAGCGGTGGGCGCTGTCCAGCATTTCAGCCGCTGTGCTGGGCGTAGGGGGAGGGGTGATCGAATGGGACGGCAACGGGAGGGAAAGTCAGTAAACTCACGGACATGGTCGCCTCTGCGATGATGTTTGACGCTTTACAGCCAAGGTTGAAAGCGTTAAGGCATTAACTCTGTCCGTCTGTGTGTCCGTCTGTCCGTCTATAAATGAACATTATAATTCGTTAAAATGCATAGATTAACATGCGGGATTTTAATTTAATTGTGTTGTAAAGTTGGGCTGCTATTCGGCACTTAACGGACAACCTAGCACCTTAGTCAAACGTTTACCAAACACTCAGCGATAAATTATAAAAGGTTAGCTGTTTTCCTATTCCGATGACGCAATATGCGAGCACAGCACACAGAGTCCGTTCAGTGACGTGACGTGCCGCGTGATGCCATCTCGTTATTCAGCTCCAACACGAACGTCATTCATCATCAACCATAAATCCACTGCTTGATGAGCATCCCTACGTCGCCGCCATCTCTCGCGTTCCTGCGATGATACTAATCCACTGAGCGTCTGCGCTCGAGTTAAATTTATCGCTCCATGTCATCCGTTGGGGTACTCTCGGACTAATTCCATTCCTTGGCTGTCACTCCTTCATTAGTCTTAACCACCGGCCATCATACCGTCCTCCCCAAGCCCCATCACTGTTCGTAACAGTTAAATGATGCATTTAACCTGTGCATGTTCACGGATACACGTGCTCTTTTTTCTGCCTCTAAATCTACTACAATTCCAAGTGTGCATCTCTCCATGATGCTTCCGTGAAAAATGTTCCTTTCCTTGCAAAATTTCCATTTTATTGTTAATGTCCACTTATCTAATCCACAAGTAATAGCAGGCACCTCCCAGGACAAGCCATATTGGAAAACGTTACAGAATGCATGCATACGCATGACTGTTCTTCCTTGTTTAAGCAACATGTGTATTGGCGTGTGTTCCTTAGTTTCCTATTGAAAGAAAATTTACGTGTATATAAATTGGATATAACCCGCCATCATACACAATATTTAATGTAGACTTGTATCTGTCGGACCAAATACGAGTAAGTGGTTGTTATGCAGGACGTAATGTGACTCTTGGTTGAACGATATGCCTACATAATTATTTTTTTCCGTTCATTTATGTACCATCACGTACAGATCTATGTTAGCCTTCGGAAATTTATCTTAATTTAATGCAACGTTTAATTTAGATGTGGCTGTCACCTGTCATGAACGCTTAAGTTCTGTTTACTGGCACTGAAATCATTATGGAAGGGTCACAATTCTGCCGATGACACGCAGTTTTACTCTCCCCTGTGTTTTTTTATTTTATTTACTCTGTTTTTTGATCAAGTGTTTATGGGGTTTAATGGGGTAGCGTTTCGTCATTGCTATTGATTAACGGAACCCTGCAATCGGCAGTTAATCGATAACAGTTAATGTTTTAAGTCATCACTACTGTTTATTACTGCACTGCGCCCAATTGCCGTAACGAATGTGCTCATCAGTGCTGTGTGCAAGGTCCACCAAAGGACTTTGTCACCGACCCAAACGGGTCGGTCGTGCCTACGATGATTTTTTTTCATTACCGGCTAATGACGCAAATGGGTTCATTTTAGTGCACACATTTTATATACACCCACATTAAAACTTCACGTGAAATTTACATCTTCTTTGCCATGTTCAGAAACGGTTGTTGAGTAGGCCTATACAGGCCTATACAGAGTGCGATTCTTACATAGTCACCAATTATTGTGCATAATGCGACTATCTATATGCTCATGCGTGCAGATGGTTTTTGACAAAACATTTCCAAAGATCACGACAGCGGTCATTTTCTGTCAAGTGCTTTTGGAGCCGTCCGCCTGATCAATAAACCCAATCTGTGGCTTCCGCAATTGATAATCCCACAGGGGCATTTGAAACCGCAACAGTGTGTCTTAATTCTACCAATGCCATATGTGGGACATATATCTTAATATTTATTTTCTCTTAGTTTTGATGCACTTTATAACACAACATCATGTTTCGTTGACATGTTACGTACACATTCCAATTACATTTTATGTTGTTGTTGTCAGTCTGTAACTTTCCACTGCTGGGAAAATACCTCTCCCATTTTCATTTTCTTCCTTTCCTTAGTCGTATGTATATACGTATACCAGAGATAACAAACAACAAACTAATGCACGACATTTTCATTAAATGTATGTTTAATGGAGACTGATTTGTCAGAGGAAAGTAAAGTGAAAACCGATGTCTGTGATTTATTTCTAATTTAGCCGGTTCAAACATGTGTTGGCATGCTATCAATGCAGCAGACTCTTGTTTAAAACATTAATACGTGTGTGTGTGTGTGTTTAAAAGTATTTTGAACAAGACACGTGTTTATTTATGCCTAATAACAAAATGCAAAGGATAGTAATTTCTGAAACACAATTTTGAAAGTACTGCTTGGTCCGGATTGCTGTGCTTAATCATGAGGATATCCTTATGTTATTGAACGGTCGTATAGAGAATTTCATGTTTGGATATACGACATAAATCTGTTTAATATACAATTCCATACAAAACGCTGCATTCATAAGCCATTGCAATTGATATTTCACGTGTGTGGTGCAATTTCTATTCGGCAACAGCTTATACTTGTTCATCTATAATGTCTCCTCTACTCATATAATAGTACTTGTGTTATGAAACGAATTTGCGAAAAATCCACAATTCAACGAAATAATCACACATTCGTATATCGTAGTTGTCTTACTTTAATTCACTGCAAATATATCATTCATATAGCAAGAATGTAAAAATATAAAACTGAATTATGACTTTTTTTACATTTTTTATCCACAGAGTACAGTATTGTGTGTATTGTATGCACACTGTATACAGTGTAACATATTAATATGAAAAAGAAAACGAGGACGAAAATACCAGTCCCTGCTGTCATATAGATTTTAAAAATAATCAAATGCCAAAGCTCTCCCATGTGACCCCTGCATCAGCAGCTTGTCTCCAACATATAATCATGTTACTGCAGTTAAGTAGAAGTCTGCATAATTTGTCCGTGCCTACTGCCCATTATTTGAGCAATGGCTTAGGAAGCAAATGACCTAGTGGCATTGAGGTTATAATGTCAGCTTTGGGTGCAACTTCAGGATATCATTTTTCGGTTCACCTATTTGATTACTCATTTCGTGTTGCTTAAACTAATTGGGAGAAGCCTGCTCTCCCTTTGTATTTTCTGCTTTGCAGGCTGAGTTGCAAAGTACGGAAGTGGGTTTAAAATATTGGATTGGTTTTTACCTCCTATAGAGGCGGTGAGTTATATTTTAATACAATGGGGCTTCACACTGCGTCCTCACGCCGTGGTGTGCACCTTCCTGCGCTGTTCAGCAAGTTTAAAATAATGAGACACGATGATACAAAATTGTAACGCAAGATTTTGAAATGCACATTTCTTCGTGATATTTTCTTCCTCATCAACAGCAATGGGCATTTTAAATCAGCTATACAGGATGGCCCAAAAATCAGCACACATTAGGTTATTATATTTATTATAACAAATCAGATAGGGTGATTAAATTAATTTTAACACATTTTCAAACTGACTCTCATTAACATTAATGCATATATATGAATTATCTTTTGAAATTAATTTAGGACTTATTTGAAAGATCACTATAGTAATATTTAATTACGTATCAATTATGTTTCGTCTCAATTCATTAAGGGTATTTGGTCGAGTGACCCCACAAAAAGAATATTTTTATATTAATGATACGAAAGAATATTAACAAAAGAAAGAAATAATTTAAATTTTGCTATGCCAGTGTTAAAATAAATTCAATAACCATATGTGGGCCACCCTGTATATTGTTCATGTAATTGAAAGTATAATTTATAAATGAATTGTGTGTATCCATATGTTGTAAGGCTGGGGGCAATGATCTCACAAAATTGCACACATTCATAATTAGGTCTGTTTGGTTGAAATTGAGGGAGTCACGGTCTGAAAACAGTGGCACATGCATTTTACAGAATTGCATCACTATAGTGATTACATAACGATTATTTACTTTTCTTGTTGAATATTTTACAACGCAAACTAATTGTATCATTACTGGAACTGTATAATAATTAATATTGGTTATTTTAAAAAAATAACACTTTTTGTTCTCAAATGATATCAAACATTTGGAGCAAAGTCAAGATGGTCGGAATCTTTGTCTCTAATTACACAAATTACCACCACGGGGGTTTGTATTGAGATTTAGGCACTATACATACATTCACCAATGCCACCTTGAAGCAAAGGACACGTTTCTTAAATCCTCCTACCTCTATCCAACCAGCAGTAAATACGGATACACCACCCGCAGGAGATCAGCAGTTCACGCCTGACGAGGTGGGTTACTCCTGCCTCTTCCAAGATGTTTGACCAGCGTGGAAGAGTAGGCCCAATGCCCACTCGAGGAGCTGTCTAATTATCCATCGAGTGGAGCCCTTTTGCCAGCAGTGATATGAACAAGTATTTGCAGGGCTGCACCTCTCGATTTTGTAAGTTCACATTGGATTGTAATATAACTATGTTTGTGCATGCAGGTATTGTTAGGTGTAACTTTTTGCAAGGACTGGAGTCTGTTTTTTTTAACAGTCTGGAGCTTAACAACTTCATTGTTAAAAAGCTTCTATTTATGGTCTGAAACTGGTGATTCGATGATACGTAATGATGGGTTTTATCCACTGTTATCCGTTCCTGGTAGATTCTACAAATAATTTTGTTTGTGTTTTTATAATAATTAAAAGTGCTGATTATTTTTAGAGTCGTGTCTTAAATTATACACCCTCTCGTTGAAAATATAAAGCTGAATGTTGTCATATGCAAATTTAATGCGCTGTGCAAATTAGCATATGACTGAAACATGTGATGTAAACCCCCGTAAAGGTTCAAGTCTGAGTGAATTGCTTAAGGGCGTCTGGCAACTCTTCTTTCCCATGGCATTTTACCTCAACGTTGCCTGTATGATGCACCCACTCTTGGGTAAGACACCACCATAATACGCCCTATGTACCAGCAGAAAATTTTAATGGATGTGTTTTTTTGTTAATCCAAGGTTATCAATATTGACATTGTGCATTTTAGGACATAATGGCTAATGCATCTCAATAATAGAGAACAACTTCAGGAATATACTTCCGGATAGCGCAGTGGCCAAACCGATGCTGTCTCTCGGTAATGAGAGACTTTACAGTAGCCCCAGTAAAATATGGCCTTGGAAGCAGAGTGCTCAAAGCGTGACCTTCGATTCGACTTTAATGCCTGTGTCGCTGAACAATTTTTTTCAACAAGTTTGAAAAAAAAAATGTTTATCCTTAAAATAAGAATGCATATGCAGTGCGGCATTTTAAACTGTTTATGCACGCAAATAATGCCCACTCAGCCCAAAATAAAATACCACGCTATGCAAACTAGT